TTCACTACAGCACGGTCCTACAATCTAATCATCTCTTTAAGGCACCACCTTTCAATTACCATAATAAGATTTCCCACTCTTAACAGTTACAGTGGGAATTAAGCTTCTAATATATAAAACTTGGGGGATACAATTCACATGTCAGTGAGTTTTGGGGGAATATAATTCTATCCACTACAGTATGCTTTTCAAGAGCTAAGGAATCTAGCACAAGCCCCACCACCCATCCCCACACTCAGAATGTGTATGTTAAGGATGTGCTGGCTCAATATGAAATATTTGTTTCAGCTGTGATGAAGGTGCTTCCTAATCAAATGAATGTTATAAAGAAAATGGTCAACTACCTGAGTATTTTTAACATGCTTTACATGTCCTGAATCCCTTGGCACGGAAGCTTCATGTATATTCAGCATTACGCAGTGGAAACAAAAAAGGTAGTTTTTTGTTTGCATTTGAATTTTTGTCCCACCAGTTAATGGAGACAAAGGATTTAACCTCTTTTAGCCTCAGTTCCTTCCTCTGTAAATGAGGATTACAGAGCTTACTTAGAAGTTAACTACGTTCATTGAAACAATTTCCAATAGCAAAAGTTTGGAAATAGGTTTAAATAAATCACAGTAGATTCATATTATGGATAAATGCTCAGGCTAAAAAGAGTGAAAACCATACTCTTATGGGAAGGCGCCCATATCATACTGTCAAAAGAGAATGGAAGTTGTGGAATAACATGTGGAATTTAGGCCCTTTAAAAATCAGACTCTTTTTCCCTCATTCCCACTCTTTATTGCATTCATTCCCTTTATCTGTTTCAAGGATAAAAGTTAGGAAGAATATAAACCAAACTCTTAAGTAATAGTTAATCATGGATGTGAGATTGGGTGAAAGAGAACATCATTTTTAAAAGTTATTAACTTCTGAACCTTGACTTTTATTTTTAATATGGGAATTCATGACCTTTATCATTTTAAAAATGAAGACCATTTATGATTTTATGTAATCACTGATATGCTAAAGCTTAAGACTGCCATTTTATTTTCTGTTTTTACTTTCTCTTCCTTTGTTTCTTTTTAATTTCCCTGTCTTTCTGTGGATCATGTCTATATACATAAATGATGTCACATTTTGCCAGTTTGAGTGAAGTAGAGAAACCTTAATTTCCTTTTCATCCTTTATTCTCTCCAGTTTGCAATATAATTGTGTTAAATATTTCCTTCACGTACATTGAGAACCACATTCAATAATGTTATATTTTTTGCCCAATTCTGAAACATAATTCAGAGAACTAAAGAGAAGGAAAGTCTGCTGTATTTATCCCTGTTTTTCATCTTTCCATGTTTTTATTCTTTCCTGATATTCTGAGAGTCTTCCATTTACTACCAATTAAAGGACAGTTTGACAGAGTGGATAGAAAATCATGACGAAATTTTATGACTTCAATAGGAAACCTGCTCCAACTATAATGATATTTGTCTGTTAAAGTAAAAAGAAGGAAAAGATATACCATGAAAATTAATCAAATTAATGACAAGCGAAATTTTATGACTTCAATAGGAAACCTGCTCCAACTATAATGATATATGTCTGTTAAAGTAAAAAGAAGGAAAAGATATACCATGAAAATTAATCAAATTAATGACAAGGTGGCTATGTTAAAATGAGTTAAAGTAGACTTCACAACAAAGAAAATTACCAGTCATAGAGAGGGACCTAGAATAATGATAAAAGTGTTAATCCTTTGAGAAAAACGTAGCAATCCTAAATGTACACAAGAGAGCTGCTATAAGCAATGACTGACAGAATTTAAGGGAAGAATAGACAAGTCCACAATTACAGTTGGACATTTAAGACTTCTCTCTCAACAATTAATACAATACCTATATAGAAAATTAGCTGGGGTATATAGAACTGAACATACCATCAATCAACAGGATGTAATCAACATTTGTAGCACACTCCAACTCACAAGAGCAGAATGCACAGCATGTTTTTTTAAAACACCCATAGATATATATCAAAATAGATCATATTCCAGGCCAAAAAAACCCTCTATAAATTTAAAAGAATTGAAATCATACAGTGAGTGTCCCCTGAACACAATGAAATTGAGCAAAATTTAACATCTATTCATTATAAAAAAGAAAATCCCAAAAACCTAGGAATAGAAGACAATTTCCTCAATTGATGAAGAACATCTACAAAAACCCCGTAGATTGGGAACAAGGTAAAGATTCTCTCAATGCTGCTATTCAATATAGTTCTGAAATTTATAGTCAGTGGAGTAAACAAAGAAAAAGAATGAAAGTCCTACAGATCAGAAAGGAAGAAATAAAACTCTCTTTTGCAGGTGACATTTTTATGTAGAAGATCCCAAAGAATCTACCAAAACTTCTAGAACTAATAAGTGAGTTTATAAAAGTCACAGAATACAAGATGACTATCTAGAAATTGATTGTATTTTTGTACTAGCAATAGACACATGGGAACTGAAATTAAAATACAATATCATTTATAATCACTGAAATATGAAATACTTAAGCATAAATCTAACAAAGTGCATATGAGATNTACAGATCAGAAAGGAAGAAATAAAACTCTCTTTTGCAGGTGACATTTTTATGTAGAAGATGCCAAAGAATCTACCAAAACTTCTAGAACTAATAAGTGAGTTTATAAAAGTCACAGAATACAAGATGACTATCTAGAAATTGATAGTATTTTTGTACTAGCAATAGACACATGGGAACTGAAATTAAAATAAAATACCATTTATAATCACTGAAATATGAAATACTTAAGCATAAATCTAACAAAGTGCATATGAGATGTGTATGTCGAAAATTAGAAAATGCCAATGAAAGAAATCAAAGAAGCTCTTTATAAACAGACATTCCATGTTAATGGAGTGGAAGACTCAATACAGTAAAATGTCATTTCTTCCCCAACTGATACACACATTTAATGTAATTACTATCAGATCCCTTGTGACTTTTAAGATATAAACAAGATCATTCTAAAGTTTATATGGATAGGTAAAGTAGTTAGAATAGATGAAACAATTCTCAAAGAGAAGCAAGTGGGATGAATCACTCCACCTGAAATCTGATTTATTATATAACTACTGTATGAACATTGTGAAAGTGTCAGAGGGAGACACAAAGATGTAACAAAACAGAGAACCTAGAAATAGATTCACATAAGTACAGACAATGAATTTTTGACAAAGGTGCAAAAGCAATTAAGAAAGGAAGATAGTCTTTTCAATAAATGGTGCTGGAACAACAGGAGAAAAGGGATATCCACATAAGGTGTTGATGTAAAGCAAACACCTTGTAAAAAAAATAACTGAATGGATCATACATTTAAATGTAAGTATAAAACTATAAAACTTTTAGAAGGCAATATGAGACAAAGTTTTCAAGTCTCAAGGCTTAGTGAAGAGTTTTTAGACATGACATCAAATGCTTAATCTATAAGAGAAAAAAAGCAAAATTGGATCTCATCGAAATTAAAACTTTGGCTTTGTTGAAAACTGGTTAAGAGAATGAAAAGGCATGTCACAGAGTGAGAGAAAATATTTTCAAACCATACTGTCTGACAAAGTGTATCTAGAGTATATAAAGAACTGTCAAACTCAGTATTTTTTACAAAAATAAATTAAAAAGTGGGTGAAAAATGTGAACAGACATTTTACCTAAGAGGCCATATAGATGGTAAAAAAGTATGTGAAAAGACACCCACCATCACTAGGCATTAGAGAAATGCAAATTAAGAACAAGTTGAGCTATCACTACTATACACAATGACATATCACTACAAAATGGCTAAAATAACAATGGAGACAAGAGTAAGTGTTAACAAAGATGCAGAATTACTGGATATCTCACACATTGGTGATGGGAATGTTAAGTGGTACTGACCCCCCAAAACTGTGGCACTTTTGTAAAAAACTAAACATATACTTACTATACAGCCCATTCCTTGAACATGTGGACAATTTCATTTGCACAAAACTTACGTCTACATAAACAAGTGTAAACAATTTTTTATAATAGCTTCATTTGTAACAGACCCAAAGTATAAACAACCAAAATGTTCTATAATAGGTAGATAAAACATATTGTGGTACACTTATACTACAGAATATTACTCAGCAATAAAAAAGAATAAAATATTGATACACACAACAACTTGGCTGAATCTCAATGGCATTAGGCTAAGTGAAAAATAGCCAGTTTCAAAGGTCTCATCCTGTATATGACACCATTTCTATGACATTCTCAAAATGAAAAATTATGGGGATGGAGAACAGATTAGTGATTGCCTAGTGTTAGAGGTGGTAGATGGAGGTGGGTGGGATAACTATAAGGAGTAGCATGATTGTGTCTTGGTTGTAGTGATGGTTACACAAATCTACACAAGTAATAAAGTGACATAGAGCTGTACACACAATTGTACTAATATCAAAATCCTGGTTTTGATGTTGTACTATAATTATGTAAGTTGTAACCATTGGAGAAAACCTAGGTGAATGGTACACAGGTCCTCTGTACTATCTTTGGAACTCCCTGTGAATTTGTAAGTATTTAAAAATAAGAAGTTAAAAAAAATGAAGAGGAGGAAATGTAAAGACTGCTTTGCAGTAATGTGAGGTTCAAGCAAGCAAATTTACATAAACTTCCCAGCATAGGGCCAGGCATTGTATGTGTGCTCATAAAATACCCATAAAAACACATGCAAATAATGCATTAAGGGCATATAATATTGACCAATGGATCGGTTCATTTAATCATTCGTTTATTCATATCCTTTCTCAGGCAACCCTCAGCCCAGCTGAGTTCCCTCCCTTGGTATCCCTTTCATCACCATTGATAAAGCCAGTCGTCCTGGTCTTGGGGCAAAGCAGGCTGGGCCTTTGACTCTGACCTTTTCACTCTACAACTTCCAGCACACACTGTAATAATACACAGCTGGGGTTAAAAATGGGATTGGCTTCGTGGTACCTATATGGAAGTTGCCTCCAGATTCTCTTTCTGCAACTGGTACAGGATGATTGCCCACCAAAGTCTCCCTCTGTGGGTCCTCCCCATCAAGAAGTTTATAGATGGAGCCTAAGAGATCAATACTTGCTCCCTTGAGAATCTGAGGTGTAATTGGAAAAACAATGTTCATTAGTTATTCTCAGCTGAAAAAACCTGAAGCTTCCCAGAGGGGGAAAAGTTTATTTTTGTGTTACTGCCATTAGAGACTTCTTAGTATTTGAAAGTTGCCCTGCTGTTGACAAATTCCTTCCTTCCTTTATGACTTGCCACTAGAGACTATTTTCTTAGTATTTGAAAGTTGCCCTGCTGTTGACAAATTCCTTCCTTCCTTTATGACTTGCCACTTTTCTCCCCTTCCTTTCTCCCTTCCTTTGTGCCTGCCTTTTTTACTGCCTTCTTGCCTTATTTATTTATTTATCTGTCTGTCTGTCTATCTATCTATCTATCTATCTATCTATCTATCTATCTATCTATCTATCTATCTACTTACTTACTTACTTATTTTGTGGTGTGAATAACAAATCATTCACATGGTAAAAAATTCAGAGTAGAGACTGTGCAGGGTAAAAAGCAAGTACCAAGTACCCCTCCATCCTTTGATTCCCAGTCTCTGGTTTTTTTCTCTTGAGATCACTGCTGCTACAAGCTCTAGTTATTCTTCTGGATATAAGCCTTGCATTGCACTTGCAAACTTATCAATATTTATATATTTTCTTCTTCCTCCACGCAAATGACAGAGTATTATTCACATTGTTATGCAGCTTGTGTTTTACTTAATATTTATCTGTCTACATCAGTATGGAAAGAGAAGTCTCACCATTTTTAATAATTGTATTATGTTTTATCGAACAGCTTGTGGTTTTGATAATAGCCATTTTAACAGGTGTAAGGTGATATCTCATTGTGGCTTTAATTTGCATTTTCCTGATGATTAGCAATATTGAACATTATTTTATATACCTGTTAGCCATTTGTATGTTACTTTCTTTGCTCATATTCTAATCAGTTTGCTCCCTTTTCTCCACATCCTAGCCAGCAGTTTGTGAGGTAGTGTATATGCTAACTAACTCTGTTTAGCCATTCCATAATGCATCAATGTATACATATTTCAAAACATCATGTTGTATATGGTAAATATATACAATTTTTATTTGTCAATTAAAAATAAATTAATTTTAAAAAGGGTATGAACACTGTAAATTTTGATAGATATTGCCCCCTCTATAGAGAGGCTCTATCAATTTACATTCACTTCCTTCTAATCTAGAGTGACTATTTCTTCAAATCCTCTCTAACACTTGTTAAACTTTTATTATTCTTTTGCCATTATTATTAGTAATAATATTGGTGAAAAACAATATATTTTAATTTTCTTTGCTTTTTTCTTTTATGAATCATGTTGACCATCTTTTTATATTTCTATGAATCATCAGCATTTCTTTTTTATGTGAATTAACTGTTTATATATATTTTTAAAAAGTATTTTGTTTTCAAGTTGATATTTTGAGTCAAGTATCTTTCCTTATGTAAGCTGTAAACATTTACTTCTCAATATTAGTTATTTTGCTTTGCTTATTGTGTGTTTTTGCCATGCAGAAAACTGATTTTTATGTAGCAAGTGTATTTTGTGTTTTGTATATTTATAAAGGTCTTCATCACTCTAAAAGTTTAAAGAAATTTACTATCTTTTTTGTTATCTTTAATGTTTTTAATTTTAAATAATTGATCCATTTTAAATTTTTTTTTTTTATTTTTATTTTTTTCCTTTTTGTCTTTTTTTGTGACCAGTAACAGGATCGCAACCCTTGGTGTCATGCCTGTACCGCGACCGGCAACGGGATCACAACCTTCGGTGTCGCGCCCGCACCGCGCTCAACCATTGAGCAGACCGGTGTCTATATGGGATCTGAACCCTCGGTGGGAGTGCCGCCGGGCTCCCGAGCACTGCACTCTACCGAGTGCGCTACCGGGCCGGCCTTAAATTTATTTTTATAAAGTGTGTGTGATATGTTTTTAGTTTTACTCCCTCCCAAGC